AAGGCATTCTGCACCTATATGGCGAAATTGAGCATTGAAGCTTTTTTCTTTGTTTTTCATTGGCTCGTACACGTTTAGTACATTCAATAACCAAAAAATGAGGAAGATTGTAAATCGGATTCTTGATGAAATACCCATCTGCTATACATCACAAATACTGTGCAAGTATGACCATTTAGTAAAAATTGTCATCGACTATATCTCAAAAGTTAGCATTGAGACATCGTTTTCTATTTCGCCATTTGCATACACTACCCAAGAGCAAACGCCAAAACCAAATTTTCAGAGCGATCGATATCGCTTTTGAAATAGACGTGAGCGACCTAGTCTGTGTACATGCAATAATTATACAAGTATATACATAGTTAAACTCGGATAAATAGTGTTCATAGTTTGACAGCAGCATGAAAAAAGGTGGAGGACACCGTTTTCGGAAACAGTGACCTTTCTGCAGCCATCCATACGTTTGGTAGAGCCTATGGCCGCGTCGGAGCATCCTCAACCTCGTCTACAGTGAGCACCTTCTCACAACGGTGTCATGGTGGTGACAGTAACTGTAGTCGACTGACGAGCTGAGAGAAGGACGCCATGGGTGGATGTTGGAAGAAAAGACGTTCAGGAAAAAAATTCGGATTAAAATAACTTCTAAACAATCGATGAGGAGACAATAGCCGTAAAATGGCAATAAACAAGATAAATTGTGCACTCATAACAACAGCAAAAATGAAGAAAGTCAAGTTCCATAACGTTTTCTTGTGACTGTCATCAGTGGAACGCCGTCACATAAAAATGTAATAACTAAAACACACACTTATATACATGTAGCTAATATGGTTTCAGGTAGAAATACAGCAGCTAACAAGAGGCCGCCGGACGGTCGCTCCTCGACAAACCATGTTGCTACAACGGTAAGAGCGGACGGGGAACAACTTGAAAACAGAGCAGAACCGAGGAGAAGCAAGAGACTAGCAGAGGCACGACTGAGACAAGTGGAGAACACAAGGCAAGGAGACGCAGGAGGAAGCACAGGCACGGCACAGAACGAATCAAGGAGAGGGAAGCGGTGTCGCGAGGAGATGGAGACTGATGACGACGAATACGAGTGCGATGGGATGGACGGCGGCATTGGAATGGAGGTGGAGGATGAGAGTAGTGATGAGGAGGAGTTTGATGTTGACAAGAGGAAGTCTGCAGTGTACAAGCATTTGGTGTCCAGTCCAGAATGTCGTAAGGTGTTTGACGATTCCTGGTTTAGTGTTATTCGTTGCGCACGTTTCTTCAAGCAATTGCAGGTGTTGGAAGCTGTGTATATTCGTACTCGTGACCCTGTGCTATGTAAACAGAAAGAAAACGTTGTATCACTCACACTCTTCAAGTAATACACACGCACCATTACATTCATTCACACAGTATCACATTCATCTGCCACTACCTTTCTCACATACACTATATTCACACATTGCAAAGGTGCAAACTTCGCTTTTTGTACTTGTTAGCTGCTGTATTTCTACCTGAAACTATTATTATTAGCTACATGTATCTAAGTGTGTGTTTTAGTTATTACATTTTTATGTGACGGCGTTCCACTGATGACAGTCACAAGAAAACGATTATGGAACTTGACTTTCTTCATTTTTGCTGTTGTTATGAGTGCAAAATAACTTCTATTGTTTTTACTTGTAGACTAACGAGGAGACATCCAGGAGCGATCGCGGAGTGCACGGCCGGCTGACGTTAGGAAAAGTCTACCCCCCCCCCCCCCCACCCAGAATAAAGAGGGTCGGAGCTGGGTCCAGGACCAATGCGGGTCAGATGGTCTCACCAGACCGAGGCTCGACCAACCGTGTGGATGGTTGCAGAAAGGTCACTGTTACCGAACACAGTGCCCCCCGCCTTGTTTTATTCTTCTGATTCTTCTGTTTACACCATGTAAACAAAAACAAAGTTATCACCTCAGCTATGCCAGTTTTGTATGTGAAACCCCTATTATAATAGCAGTTTGGTCTATATTTTTAATCATTCAAATCTACCTTCACTGATGAGCTATGTATTAGCGAAACAGCTGTCTGGAAGAATTATCAATATCGTCTACGGAAGTGTCCTCGCAGTGGTGATGGATGTGCGAAGGAGGGTCTATTCGGCTAAAGCTACCTTAACTCGCCGGTCTCCACCATGATCACCATAGTGATAAAATTCACCCCGCTGATGCATTCTTTTCTTCCGATTATCATCATCTTTCCTTCTTTCTTTCTTTGTCCTGTCTTGCCATGGCTGGCTGACGCTCCTCCTTTGCATTGGCTTCTGCCATTGGACGGTGGAATAAAATACATAAAGAGCGCAGTGTAATGGTGCAGTTTACTCAACATTTTTCTCAATGGCCGAGACCTCTGTCGCACCCTGTAATATTATGATACGTGCGCCGTTAGCGTCAGAGCAAGAAGAGGGACAAGACGAGTCAAGGGACAATCTGGAGGACGCAATACCATAGGACCAACTGTTTGTTTCTACCCGCGTTATTGTACCGTCCACACAGCTCTGACGACCATATACTGGGGGAATGCCGCGGGGCCTCCCGGCGCGTCAGCGGCAGTGGGTGATCGGCACAATGACATGAAGACGGTAGCTTGCGGACAACATTGATGGCATGAAGCCTAGTGACTGCCAAGCGTCTTGGCGCGCCGGTCCAGCAGTACACAGTGTCAGCTCCAGAGCCGGGTGAGCCGGGTAATCCACCCGGTTGGGCGGTGCTTGGACCAGGTTGAAAATATAGTACCGGGTCACCTGTGACTCGGTTGGTACTTTTACACGTTCGAACTTACTTTGAAAGGACTGACTACATGGTTTGTATATGTGACAGATTATGCAGAGGCGCTAGGCGCGCGTCGAATACATGTGTACCCGGCTCCGACCCGGTTGAAATGGTTGCGCCAGGTACACGTGTACCCGGCTGTCCTACAATCCTAGAGCAGACACTGGTGCAGTGTCATGCCCCAGGGGCTGATGTGGCTGTCGACGTCGGCGGGTCGAGAGGTGCGTTCGCAGGCCTTCATGGCGCTCAGACAACGGCAATGCTAGCCCACAGACTCTCACTAGCTGCACCGTACTCTGATCCTGGCACCTTTTTTCTGCATTGAATAGTGATTGCTTTTCCGCGCCGAATTTCCGACGCTGCAAGCATGTCCAATGCGCGTCCACATTACATCACACTTTCCTTTTCCCGCGTTATCACCTCAGCTAAGCCAGTTTTGTTTGTGGAAACCCCCTCTATAATACCAGTTTGGTCTATATTTTTAATCATTCAACATCTACCTTCACTGATGAGCTATGTATTAGCAAACCAGCTGTCTGGAGGAATTATCAATATCGTCCACGGAAGGGTCCTCGCAGTGGTGATGGTTGTGTGAAGGAGGAGGGTCTAGTCGGCTAAAGAGCGCAGTGTAATGGTGGAGGTGACTCAACATTTCCTTACCGAGTAATTGGTACAATCGTTTCAGCCCTACTTTTATTTCCATGCCACACCGAATACTCATTTCACAAGTCCATTCAGCATGTGCGAATTTGCGGACGGTTTACCACCGCTGACATTGACGCGTAAGTGCATAATAAATTAATAATGATACTAACGATAACCTTACACTGTGCTGTCGAATTTGAAAGTACCCGAAATAAGCTGCTATCACAGCATTGCAATTCTCTCTGCACACAAATCACGAGACGACAAAATACACTGACTGTATAAGGGTACCTCGTGCTAAAAGTTGTATGACTGTATGTATGTATATTTTTATTTAATGTTTAGTGCATTGCAAGGAGGGCCCTATGGCTGGTTTGCGCCCGTCAGGTTATCCCTCGGTCTTATGGCCCTCAGGCTGAGCACTACCAAGCAATAACGGTTAGGATATGGCATTCAATTGACCGTACATTTGGTGTCTCTCAATGGATTTGAGTGAAATTTGCACCACTGCCACTATGTTGGCCCTCTGGACATGATTCAAAAGTTCTTGCGCCTCACTGACAGGCTTTCCAGGCCGGAAAAACTCAAAATTCCGGCAATTTGCTACGGTATGCGAGCCAACCAGGAGCCAAAAAAATGCATTTACAATTTTTTTCACATTTTCGTTCCCATTCAGTCCGTGCGCAGATCCAAACCTAAAACAAGTCCAGAAGCAGCCATGGGTGGTGGGATAGGGCCCCTCGACGTGGCCCTGGAATCTGTCACAACGGCAGGAGTGGGCGTTCTCTCACGGACTCCCACAGACCCAAGTCAATTTTTGATTTTTGTTCGGTTTAGGGTGTGCTACGAGGTCGTACCTTTGATACAACATCCAGTGCTGGGACCTCCACAGCGCTGCACGCCAAACCCAGGATGCCCTCAAAAATCGGCAACGACTACCACTCACGTTCCACTACTGCCTAGTACTGAATCCTGCCTGACTTCTTGAAACGACTCCAACTTGCCAGAGTCACTTCCTCTACAAAATAATCAAGCCACATGTCTGCAACGTCACCAGGGTGCTGGAAAAAGTCCTGGTGCACGGCGGCGCGGCGGCGGGCTTGGCCCGCCGCTGTGCAGCCCAATACGTGGCTAAAAACGTGAGCTTAATAGATGTATTACTTACGCATATTACTTACGCATAAGAATACATGTAGTCATGTAGTTTTATCCATCGCCTTCTCAAGATTATTTTCTTCATGTGTTCTTTTTTTCGACAAGCGGAAAAGTGGCTTTATTTATAGAGGTTATGCCAACGATGCTGTGATGGTTGGTAAGGGGTACAGTTTATGGGCGCAATGTGTGCACCGAAAGTAACTACATGTAGTTGGCGGGCGATTACACCCAACAACTGCGCGTTGACATAAATCTAATCATGCAATCGCCACTGCCCCACAGGACATAGCTACACAACCACGTAGCACGCATAATCCCATTGGAGGATGCAACTCGCACAGCACGGCTGGTAGTAACAGCAACACACTGAAACACATCGCCAATAATGACCTTGTGGTGCGGGGAAAATCTTTTTTCAGCTAACGCTATTATGATGGGGTTGTAGGGAGAACGGAGGGGAACCGGGGAAGAGGTATTAGGGAAAGGAAGGGGAATTGGGGAAAAAGGAGGGGTTGTGAAGGCCATCATAATTATAATTACAACAGCAAAAAAAGAAGTGCGGGCGTCCAGGAGATAAACACAGCGCCAGTGAGCAGGGAGATCTGGTTGAGGCAACTTCATATGGACCGAGCCAATGTCAAGAAGATGTAGAGTTGAAGGTGAAGAGAGCGAACAAGAGGGATGGCGAGACACAAGCAGCTAAAATAGTAGAGCTATGTAGGAAGGTGGGAGCAGAGTGTCCCGAAGAGTAAGGAGCCTAGAAAATACGGAGGTACAAGATGACAGAAACTACAAAAGACTCAAAGTCCATAGAAAGAAAGGGGACTGAAAAAGGACCACATACCAAACAAACGGAAGAGCGAATAGGAAAGAAGGAAATGGACAAGACATCGGAGAGAGAGAAGCAGGGTTCATCTCATCCATGGACAATGAAAACATGTGAAGAACAAATCGTGATGTTCACCATTGTATGCTCACATTATAGGGTAGGAAGATGGAGGCGTAAAGTAGAGACTAGAGTTAAGAAAAGAAGTAGAATTCAGATGGATGTGCTCGACAAAGAGAGATATAGATAGATAGATAGATAGATAGATAGATAGATAGATAGATAGATAGATAGATAGATAGAGAGATAGAGAGATAGAGAGACAGAGAGAGAGTTATGACATTTTGGCTGAGTGTGGTTGAAAAGCGGGAACACCATACAACTTGCTACAGTCTGCAGTAAGAACAGAGACGGGCAGGGGAAATATACTCAGACAAATAGCAGGGCATAGCAAGTGAGCTTGCCCCTAGTGTACAATACGGGTGGCCATTCTAGACTCGAACAAACCTACAGGGATGTGCACGGTAAAGTATGGATACAGTCATGAAATCTAATGGACTCCATCAAGTACACTGGACGTTGGGCAGCCCAGGACCTGAGAACACTGGGTTGCAAAAAGATGTAAGGCGCTAACTTGACTCATGGCACCGGAATTCATCGAACAGCACTTCAGATACAGGACTCAGGTAGTGTGCCACCAAGGCTGGATTTACATGAAATTTCAATCACCTTTGGTGCTCAACCTCCACTCTGTACTGCTTATTAAAAAACTGACGTGTTGACGTCCCACGCAAGAATCCAACTGGCTGCTCGACTACTTCGGCGGAAAACTTGCACATTCGAGGCTGAGCAATCCTGGCGTGAAATGCATAATATGTGCACTATGTGCATTTTTTGTGCAGAGGAAAGTTCACGTTCTCCATTTCAACCCACCCCTTTGGTAGAATTAACGAATTAACTAAAAATGCTCCCAGGTTGTGATTTCAACTTTGGTCAATCTCCACGCATAGGGAACAGTTTCCAGTCAATCTGTGTTCATGTTGGGTTGCAAGTCAAGAAGTTTCAGCACAACCACGGTCAACCTCCACCAGACAGAAGCATGTCCCAAGTTGAGGCGTGCTGTCAGTGGTGGAAGTACATAAACACATAAAGCCAATCTACAGTCATCTGTGGATGCAGTGCACGAGTCACAGATTACGCAATTTGAGCTCGCATGATTCTTCACGCCCGCTGGCCGCCCACACGATTGCTTGGCCGTAGACATAGGCCACCAGTGCTCACCAACACAAATGCAATGAACTGCGCAAGACACTAGAAAATACGCCGTTTTCTAATGAGCACATAGTCAAGTTCTTCACTTGAACTACTGAAAGTGGAAAACAAATGAAACAAAGCACACTACTTACTTGGCGTCAGACTCCACTATGTGCCTTCGGTTGGAGGGACGACAACCAAAACCGGCGCAACCTTGTGCACAAGTTTAGGGTTGTGGCCATGATTGACTGGATTCTGCTTGGCGGTGTACACATCTATATGCATGAAAATACAAAATAATTACAACGGTGTAAACACACGACGGTGATAGAACGATCATATTATGAGCCAATACTACTGAGCCCCTATATCTAAGAAGGGGATTATGTCATTTTTGAACATGTTGAGTTATCTATACCGGCAGTCACACTGTGCATCTACTGCTTACACAGCTGCATAGTGCCGTTTATTATTTTTATTTATTATTTTACACAATAGAGAGTTTGGAAGCTTTGTTACAACTCTGAGTTTCACGTATTTCTACGATCATCAGGCAATATTTTATGATTTTACTATTATTATTTTTTCGGCAACGCAGATGATGATGATGATGATGATGATGATGATGATGATGATGATGATGATGCATGGAAGGCCGTCGGTGTTGCCTGCCACCTGCTTCTCCAGCGTCCGCATGATTCTAAGATGATGTCAAACTATAGCGACCATTTACGGCGTCGACTCACTCTATGGAAATCTGGCCGAATAGATGATCTGACTACTGAAGGAGAGTCCCTTCAGGATCGTCTCAAGCCCCGGTACTCTACCTCGTCTGGTGGAGGAGAGAAGAGTGATATCACATTCAGCAACCTGGTATTTTCGGGAAAAATTAAGTCTGCCATTCGCTACCTGTCCAGTGATTCTTCCAATGATGTGCTGGGTATGACAGATGTAGTGGACGAAGAAACTGGAACTACCGTGAAGGAGGCACTGTTGCAAAAACATCCACCTGCTGCCGAGCCCCCGGTTTCGATACTTCTCGCCGGCGACCCGGAGCCAATCAACAGTATAGTGTTCCAGAAAATCACACCGGAGCTCATCCGACGTCTGGGCCGACAGATGAAGGGGTCCTCGGGCCCATCTGGTCTGGACTCTGACGCGTGGTGCCGGATGCTAACCTGTTATCGCAAATCGTCGGATGGTCTCTGTACTGCTCTTGCCAGCTTTGCCCAATGCCTGTGCTCGGAGGACTTGGATCCGGAACACCTATCCGCATTTACCGCCGCTAGACTTATTCCACTGGACAAACACCCAGGTGTGCGGCCGATTGCAGTGGGTGAAGTGTTCCGCCGGCTTGTGTGTCGTGCCGTTATGCGGGTGCTTGAGTCCGATGTACTGCGTGCTACTGCTCCCATGCAATTGTGCATTGGGGTGCCGTCTGCCTGTGAGGCAGGGGTTCATGCAATGCAGGAGTTGTTCGCACGAGAGGACACGGAAGGCATCTTGTTTGTAGATGCTACGAATGCGTTCAATTCATTGAATAGAAACGCGGCCCTCCATAACGTGCCCTATGTATGCCCCGCTATGGCAAAGGTGTTCCAGAACACGTACAGTTCTTCAATTCGTCTCTTCGTCTCCGGCGGCGGGGAGATTGAGTCACTGGAGGGTACTTGCCAGGGCGATCCGCTGGCCATGGCTCTGTATGGTATCGCTACAGTCCCGATGATTCGGCGCCTCCAGGAATCCAATCCATCTGTGGCTCAGGTTTGGTACGCGGACGACGATTCTGCAGGTGGCCGCGTTTCTTCATTGTCCACATACTGGGGAGACATAAGCCAACTGGGCCCTGACTATGGATACTTTCCAAACCCACAGAAATCAGTGTTGCTGGTCAAGCCGGAGCATGAGGAAGAGGCCCAGCGCCTCTTCTCCGCCACTGGAGTTACCATCAAGACCAGCGGCAACCGTCACCTCGGCGGAGCGATTGGCAGTGAGGAGTTCTGCTCTGCCTTCATGGCCAGGAAGGTGGATAAATGGAAGCAGGTTCTGGATTCCCTGACGGGGATGGCTGTCACTCAGCCTCAGGCCGCATACACCGTTTTTACGAAGGGTCTGTCATCCACATGGACATACCACTTGCGTTGCTCACCTTGTTCGGCTGAGATACTGGCCGAGCTTGATGAGAGGATCAATGATTGCATGATACCTGCCCTTCTGGGGGATGGCGTTCGTCCTGGTAGCCCTGAGAGAGAGCTGATGTCATTTCCAGTGCGTCTTGGTGGTTTGGCCCTCCCTCTGTTGCAGGATAGTGCACCAGCAGAGCTCGCAGCATCCTTGAGCATCACAAAGCCTCTTGTTCAGCTACTGTTGACTGGCACATATGCGAACCCTCCAAGCGTGCCTGGTGATATGGCAAGGAGCGATTTGTCGGATACTGCCCAGTCAGAGGGCTCCCGTGATACAACCCAGGAGGTTGCCGACCGAGTGAGGCTCTCCAATCATGATCCCGTCCGCGATGCTGTTGGGGACACCCGCCAGCTGGCACGCTCGACTCGGACAAGCAAAATGCGGAGCCTATGCAGCCGGCAACAAGACATTAAGGCGGACTTGAGCTCGGAGCAACAATTTCTTGTTGAAATCGCGTCCGAAAAGGGAGTATCGTCATGGTTGACTGTTGCCCCGCGGTGGCAAGATGGAACCATCCTGAAGAAATCCGACTTCCGTGATGCCCTGTGCATCCGCTATGGGCGGAGGTTGAGTGGGCTACCCGATTCATGTGTTTGTGGTGTGCCTCTCAGCCCCGCTCATGCACTTACCTGTGCCACTGGCGGCTATACCATTGCCCGTCACAATGAGGTGCGGGACTTGGTTGCTGGACTACTGAGGGAGGCTGGAGTGGTGGACGTAGAGACGGAGCCCCGGCTATTGCCCTGCAGCAGTGAGCATTTGCCTGGTGGTCGTTCCCTCAACCGATGCGCAGAAGCTCGTCTGGATGTGCGGGCTCGCGGCTTTTGGTCGTGGCAACAGGACGCTTACTTTGATGTGCGGATCACTCATCCCGCAGCGTCTGTGTTGTCTCGATCACAAGCCCTGAGTCAGCTGAAGTCTCACGAGCGAAACAAGAAAAATCAATACGCCAGCCGTGTGGTTAACGTGGAGCGCGGCTCCTTCACGCCACTTGTGTTCTCGACGTACGGCTTTAGTGGCCCAGAAACTACTCAATTCCTGAAATCATTGGCCTCCCTGTTTGTTGAGCGCCATACTGAACTGAAGTACCCACTAGTAATGGGCATACTACGCACCCGTTTGTCTTTCTGCTTGCTGCGATGGGCAGTCACCTGCTTCCGCGGTTGCCGCGGTTCGTACGGCAAGAGGCGACAGCCGAACTCATTTCTCGCCCAGTGCCGCCAGGCGGAGTAGGGTGCTGCCTTTGGCCTCAACTTAATATAATGCTATTTGGTTTTTCCCCTTTTATTACTCTGTGTTCATTGCTTGTTTTTGTATTGATTTACTTCCTTGACTGCTTTTGTGTTTCATCATTTTCCGGTTGGTTTTGTGTTGATTTCCCCTGTTCACTTTACATATTGTAATGATATACATTTGCTTTGCCCGTAAAAGAGGCTTTTCTCATGATGATGATGATGATGATGATGAGGATGATGATGATGATGATGATGATTTTTTTTATGCATTCTTAGAGAGTGAAGGCCTCTTTTACGGGCAAAGCAAAGCACAATCATCACCATGTATCAGTACAGTGAGTAGTTAAACCCAACACAAATGAAAAATGTGAAATGGAATAAAAGCAATAAATAAATTAAAATTAAAATTCAATATCGAACACGAATAAAATAAAATAAAAATATGTAAAAAATAAACAATATCGAACACGGAATTAATTCCGGAACTATCTACTCAACCAATTCATAATGCAATACCCGCACACTGTGTCAGTGATGGAACTCCGCTACCCGATCAACATGCAGAGACCACTCAATCACATGCTTAGAAGCCGCTCTCCACAATGGCCAACTCCCTCATCGCATTAACTGGACGATGGTAGGCCGAACGATGATGATGAGGATGATACCGTGACATTGCTGTAGCCCAGCAGGTCACTCTGGAAATAAACCCTAAGTCCAAAATAGTTATCTTTCAGTTATGGTGAAAAAGGAGAAGGACAACATGTTACGAGTTATGACTAACTGCCCACCAACGTAACCAGATTTTATACAGTCAGCGAGTGCGGCAATATGGCACAAAACTGACAAGGAGTACTGAGACATTCGGCGACCTGGCATCTAGCTCCAACACTTCTCCAAGGCGCAACCTTGGAGAAGTGTTGGAGCTAGGTGTCAAGTCACCGAATGTCTCAGTACTCCTTGACAGTTTTGTGCCATATTGTCGCACTCGCCAACTGTGTAAGATCTGGTTACGTTGGTGGAAAGTTTGTCATACCTCGTAATATTTTGTCCTTCTCCTCTTTCATCATAATTTAATTGGCTCACCATCCGAGTTCAATTTCAGTTATGGGTGTGTCATTAAGTGTTTTATACATTGCTTCATTTAATACTGAAAACTCAACTTTCAAATGCATTTCTCTCAACACTGCGCAAAAAAACATAAGCCCCCTTTCCGGATCTAGAGGGTCATATTAGAAAATAGTAGAGCAAAACTGCGGCAGAATTCACTCTGCCTATCGCTATTTTAACCCTCATTCCGTGTTATGGGGTTCAACCGGACCCATGGGTATGGTTTTGGTATTATCTTTATTGTTCTTCATGATATGTGCTCTGACAGCTCGCCGTCCAACCTCGTTACCTCCATGCAGACCGGCATTAACTCCACCATAGCATGGATGGAAGCTTGGAAGCTGAGGCCCAACATCGCGAAGACCGAAGCAATGTTCATCAGCCCATCGCCGCCTACTCAGCCGTTGCACTTTCCAGGAGCCAATGCTAACGTTAAAATTGTTCATGAACACAAACACCTTGGTGTTATATTCGACAGCCATATGTCCTGGTTCCCACAGGTCCAGTCAGTATGCAAGCGAGCTAGCTCCTCCCTTGGCATGTTGCAACCTCACTGCCACCATTTCAATGACCATTGCCGAAAATTGTTCTTTACGTCGTATATTCTACCTATATTTGATTACTGTGACACAGCGTGGTGCGGTCTGTCTCAGGCCCTTGTTCAAACTCTGGAAATACACCAGCGTCTGCTTCTAAAAATCCTGTTTCGCAAAAATCAAACATTCTCCTCCCAACGTCTCTACAGCTTAGCTTCAGTATCTCCCCTCTTAGAGCGACACCAGCAACATCTTTGCATCCTTGTACACATGATCTTATTAGACCTGGCTCCCAAACACTTTGCTAAGTATAACTGGTTTGTGTCCACCAGATCAACACGTCATTCCTTCTCATTACCCCGTGCCAATACCTCCCTGTTTCTGAAATCTCCTATCTTCTCTGCGTACACTCTCTGGTCTTCCCTGCCAACTAGCCTTAAAGCATGCAGAGACATTAAGGAGTTCAAGCTTCAGCTTCTTCGTCCTAAATAATCTCACCATTTTCGTCATGCCTCCCCTTGCAGTACTCTCTTTGTTTCTCTCCTTATTATTCAGTTCGCCGTGGTTGGCTACCACCCGACTTCTCATATATATTGGCAGTCTTCTGACGAGCCAGGAGATGTTGAAATAATAAAATTAAAAAAAAAATAATATCGATGAAATTATAGATATTCCTCAATAACTATAATAATATAGGAGGTCATCAAGCTGTCTGTGGTCGAAATTCATGAGTGGGTTCAATTTTATTTCGGAAATCATGAGTGTTGTAAGTTTCGACCCCAGAAAATACATCGCAGTCGGGTACTATAGGTAATACAGTATATTGTTGATCAGCTTAGCTCTCCTCAATTCATTCTAGCATGGATATATAGTCAAGGACCAAATCAGAACCCTGTAATCATCTTGTACTTGAACAGCACAATGAGTGTCTTAGATGACCTTGACAAATTGTGTTCCTGTGACTGGGTGGGTACACCCTTACTCAAGCATACTAAGACCATGATCATCTCCAGCACAACAGTGTACTTACGCTCTGTGCAGTAGTAGAAAGCAAGGCCTGTAGTTGTACCGGGCAGTACATTGGCCAACTGATGATGGGCTTCAGCCCGAGCAGAATTGGGAAGAATATCAGGCTTGGCACTAGAAGCAGTAGGAGAAAATGTCAGCATGTGATGGATCAATAGCAGTACATCAGATAATGGTGGTTTTCTTGTTATAGTTTGCATTCTACCCACGTCTGGCTAGATTAACTATTTTGTAGTCAATGGCGTAGGTGAGGTATATTCCCGCGGCTAGAGCAATACTCCGAAAGAATGCCTTAAAGGGGAAGTATACCCTAAAATCAAATTATCACCAGTTGTAGTCTTCGGGGTGCTGCGTCGAATGGTCTTGGTCCGAGGAAGCTGAGACGCTCCCTTCCTACTTGAATCCCAATCGAACTCGCGCACTTCCACCGAAACTGGGTGACTGCGCCCTACTAGATGGGGATTTGTATGCAAAATGTCACTAAAAGCGCCATTTCGTTCTTATAAAAGCACGGATGACCGCGATTGGCCCATATGTTGTAGTCTTTTGGACGCTGAGTCGACTGGTTTTGGTCCGAAAAGGCTGCGATGCAGCGTTCCTCCTTTATTCCCAATCGAACATGGTTGAACAAGCGGTCACCTGCTCCTGCGTACACCAGTCACCTGGTCACCGTGCCTGCAGGGTACAACTTACTAGCCTGTTTGACCTTTTTTGGGTGCAGTCCTGTCACTCGAGTTGAACTCGAGTTGAACCTTGGTGTGAAAGTTGTCGCCTGCTGGCGCGGTGACCAGGTGATTTGGGCACCCAGGAGCACGTGACTGCTTGTTCAACCATGTTCGATTGGGAATAAAGGAGGAACGCTGCATCGCAGCCTTGTCTAGAATAGGCAGGTTTGAGGTGGGGTGAGATGTGTGTGCGTGTGCGTGCGGGCATGTGTGCATGTGTGTTATACTTTACCCAACACACAAACCTGGATACCACCATGAAATCATACAGGTACTTATTCCATCATGCAATCATAAGGATACTTACAGTCTTTGCACAAAGGCTCTCATCTGAGTAGGTGTTGGCAAAGCTGCCATTGCTGGTAGATCAACTAGAGCGCGGATGATGATGCCTGCCTGTCAAAGTAGGTGTTAACAGAGAGCAAGTATATTTTACAGTCAGACCTCGCTTATCTGGTCCTCTGTTATCCGGATCCCTCACCATCCGGAAGAAAATCATTGGTTACCTATTTAGAGCACACAGCATGCCTAGGGACGACGCGCAGTAATGGATTCCACTGCCCATCGCCACTTGACGACGGGCAGGAACAGAATCCACTGCGCGTATTGGCTCACGAACTTGGCGCATGCTTCGTACATACAAGGACAATGGCAAGAGCGGGTTACATACATGATTGTGTGGAGCGCGGGTGCATGCATGCTCTTTGGCCTGGATGCACACGAGAAAGACGTACCAGTCACTCATACTAGGGCAGAACCGTTGTTCGTTCAACCTTTGCCGCAGGATTCCTCGGGACTGCCCTCGTACTCGTGCAGTAACCCGTACCTACTTTGGGGTCATGAGGGAAATGGACGTTCCTTTGCCGAGTAATGAGTGTGCCGGAGCATTTGCTGGAGCCGCTTTAGAATGCCATACCCAACAATTTTATCCCATAACGCACCTGCAGCGCTTCACTAGGCAACCTTTTGCGCAGCGGATTTGAGCTTCCTTGCCGCCTGGGTGGATTGGGCCTCATCAATCCAAGGACCTTGTGCGCGCAAGTTGCTTCTTCCAACCCGCATCACAGAGTCCCTCACCGACAGGATTTTGGCTGGAGAGAGGATCCTCGGAAGTGCTTTGACTTAATAAGTACGGCTAAGGCTGATGCGAGGGCGGCGACACGTCGGGCACAGATTGCTGGGAGGGGGGCTGTGATGAGTAATTCCTCCGGGGCCCTGCTCAAAAGCATTGATGTAGCGCGTGAGAAGGGATCGTCGAACTGGTTAACATGTCACCCAATAGGGAAGTATGGATTTAGTCTCAGCAAACAGGAGGTTGGGAATGGGTTGGGCCCCCGTTTGGGGTGGGCAGCTGCAATGCTTCCATCTCATGGCTGCTGTGGCCATGAAGTCAATGTGACGCACTCGCTTTCCTGTTCCCATGGAGGTTTACCGTCGATAAAACGTAACACTATCCGGGACACAACAGCGTATTTGTTGGATTACTTGTGCTCAAATATCTCCATTGAACCTGTGTTGCAGCCGTTGACTGGCGAGCAGTTGAGATATCGCACTGCTAATGTGGAGCGCCATGCACGACTGGTTGTGGCTGCTTGTGGTTTGTGGGGCAGTCAATTCGAGCGAACCCTTCTTGATGTTCGGGTATTCAACCCATATGCTCGTTCAAATTGATCTGCACCGCCTAGCACTGTGAACCAACGCCACGAGAAAGAAAAAAGACGTCATCATGTGGCCGCTCTTCTGGCAGCAAAGAAGTCCGAGCAGTATTGTCACGTCATGGCCTATGTTCGATGTAAGTTGTCTTTCTCGCTACTTAGTTCTTGTAGTATGTGTGTCCGAGGCAGCAGGAAGCTGTTCGGACGTCCCGTAGTTCTGAAGGCCGGTGCTTCGTCTGCTGCACTGGCTGTGTTGGGAGGCCAGGTTCCGGTTTAAATGAATGGATTCCACTGCTACGCGTTTTGAGGAGTTTTACGTATTTATGCTGGTGCCTTTTATGTGCTCCGTGTGTGGCTGGTTGGGTTCTTTTCTTTAACTTTGGGTTATTTTCATTCTTTGGGGTTTTCGTTCCAGTTTTTATTTATTGATCGTGATGGTATTTTCGCCCATACCAGAGGTTTGTGGAGTTCATCATGTGAGTACTAGCCGAGTGCAACTCTAAAGCCTAGTTCACATTCGACGCAACGCTGACGTAAGGGCCTGTCGGGACGGCTTGGGTGAGCTGTAATATCTTGTACGATTCGTACGACACGACATGCAACAGTTGTTGCAATGTCTAATGCCGAACGGCGCGAGTCATAAGGCACGGTCCGTGACGGGGTGAATTTTGGACCTAATTCTCGTTTCTCACGAATTCTTTTAAATTATTTCTATTTGAAAGAAGCGGAATCAAGTCTATTATACCAGTTTTTTTCATGAACACCAAATATTAGCCCTGAAAAGTGTGGTATCCAAATATTAGCCACAGGAAATGATAGAATAGTGCGTCTGTCACGCTCCTGAACTATTCCTAAATACAATAAGCGACATGATATCTTATCTTGCTAAAGTTCAACTCAAGTCGGTATGGCCATTCTGTGAGTTATCATGGGAAGCACAGTGTTCGAAATGCTAAAAAGTTCCAAGTACGAATCGGGAGTAGTTGGCGCACGATGCCGTCTCCTGTTCACACTCAAATTGCAGCCGTTTTGTACGCTTGTGTCCCCGTCTAGGGTATGAAAAGTTGAATCGATCCAACTCTTCCCGTCGCCTCACGATCTGTACCGTAGTACGGTTGCGTTCCCGTTCGTGGTGTTCACATTGGACGCCGTCAGGCCGTCCCGTCGCTTCCCGTCGATCATTACGTCGCATCCCGCCGCGCTCCGTCGAATGTGAACTAGTCTTAAATCTAAATCGTACAAATAAACACATTACCACTGCACATTTGGCATGATACTTACAACATGAGGAGCAGCCTGCGACGTTCCCGTCTTTTGCCCATGATTGTTTCCGGCGATGGTTGATTCAATTTGATGACCCTGGGCACAGATGAAATGAACAATGACACAGCAGGGTTTACCAGAAATCCCGGTAGTTTGTATAGTGCATGGTAGGCAACAGGCAAGAACCTTGCACGGGGCACGGGGCACGGGGGGGGGGGGGGGGGGGGGCTAAAACGTCCACCTAGGTTGAGCATGCACATAATGCCCATGAATGACATGCACCAGCCATCCGTGCACCTCCCCCCCCCCCCCCCTGAAAGGGGTACAGGTCGTCCCCGTTAATACGAGTCCGGTTAGTACATAAACCCCATTTGTGCATAATAAATCTCAAGTCCCGGACGAAACGTGGTGACTTCCTAAAAAATTTGTCGGTTAGTACATAATTCGTTAGTACATAAACCGCGTTAGCCCGGCTTGAACACAACATAACATAGTGTATACATGTCTAACTAAAACCATATTCGAAGATGTGGACTTTTACAACAGGCTTTGAAACCAATGACATTCAACCTGTCTGCCCTGGTGTAGCAAGATCTTAAAAAATGTCCCCTTTTTCAGATCCGCTCTTCAACAGGCTTTGCACGATGAGTGTTATCATGAGCTCTCGTAACATGCTGCTGTTCACAGCCTGTAGTTGAGGACCCTGACCAATCCCTCCCACAAGGTGTAGCATTCTAATGTGGCATGGACCACTTTTAATATGCATGCCTTCATACAAGAACCAAATCCAGATTTCTACTGCAGCACTCTTGAGCCTTATATTACACTGGCGGAGAAGGTGATGATGTCCGGATTCAACAAATTATGACTTAAAGTCAGGTTGAACTCAGACATTGATCAACAGGAGGGTGCAACTCACAGGGGCATAAACCGCAACACATGGTCCTTGGTTGGAGTGAGGCTGACGCTCCTCGTTGGCTTGGTGGGCTCCCACTGCCATCCTGTGAAAGATCGTGGATACACGGGGAAATACAAGAATGAAACTCCAAGAAAGAGTTCTCAGCAATGTGAAAGTCCATACAGCTTTAGCATAGAGATTTGCAACTACAGGAGCTGCATATGTTCTCAAATTCTGCACATGGGCTAGGATTAGTGCTAAACGATTCGGGAAACACATTAAAGCGGTCAGCACCAAGGAATGAGTACTTCCGGAGTATTACACTCTGCCTCCGTGGTGTTGAGCTTTGTCGGCACACTGGGTGCATCCTTCGGCAATCACCATCATCGTAACTATTATTAACCAGCGATCGCAGCAGCAAGCATGGCTTACAGTTGATCCTGTGGAGTGTTTCCACGGCTGGTCACTGCAAGACCATTGCAAGCATCTGCTTGAAACAGCAAGTTGTTGTTGCCAGCCGACATTGTAACATAAATACCCTGCAGTATAAAGATAGTACATGCTAGTATAGACAGACACACCCGCAGTATATCAACAGGCTTGCTTTGCAGCCCCTACTCTCCCTGCTGTTTTGTTATTGTATACTATGTTGTCTTTTCCCCTTCTGACGAGTAGGTTGTGTAAAGAATTCGGTTGGACACACCCATTCCCATAGCGCTGCACATCACATCCGAACCAGTTCCGTTATTTTTACAACGTTTCGGCACTTGGTTTTTCACAGATGAAGCTGCAGGAAGCCTCAGCCCTTCTTCAAACTAGGTTGTGTACTTAGTACAAAAAAAAACAAAAAACAAAAAAGATAAAATAAACACATATCAACATGCAGCATTAACAGAGTAACACATAGTATTGTCAGATACACAGGCATTATAGATACGTGCACAGACAGTATTGACAGATATTTGCCTGGGCAGTGACCACAGGTTAAAAAAAGAGGCTAAAACACATGCACTATCCACAGATCTACACACAAAATCAACAGATACACAGTCAGAATAATATTATACGACTGAATAGTGACCCCATGAAAAATCTTCTACAAGGTCTATGAATTTAGTGTGGTTCCATACATTCCATTGGCAATCCTACCCCTCGCACACACAAACAATTGAAAAAAAAGGTGTATAGTCCCGAAACAATAAGGGTGTCAGTTTGAACAAGCTGCACATCGATAAGACGTACTCCGTGTGTAACAATCAACTAGGCAAGACTGAGAATCACAGTCGTGCACTTACCGTTCTGCTCAGCTGTCTTAAACCTTGCACGACTTCCGGCACTTGGTAGTTGATTTTTGCTGCAGGGCGGGCATCTGCTGGTCTAAACCTATTGAATGACATAGACATGCTGTTCATCACAGGGAAAAACACAGCAGGACAGCAAAGCGTGAGATGAAAGGGATAAAAGTCTTCAGCTTCACAACATGTAAATCTCACGCGTTAACCCCATAGGCGTTCTAAATCATGGACTGCATGCGAGCTGTGTTTTGTCGCCAATTATGACAATACCAACACGCCATAGAACCAGAAATGAGCGTTTTCAGGAAGCTGGTCTTTAGGAATCACTGCAAGGGGTCGTACAAAATCTGAGATTATGGATAGGTTCCCAGTTGCAGGGCTGCCACTTGCTCCGATTTTTCGGAAATCGTCCGACTTTTGACCGCCTGTCGGACAAACCGATCGATTTTGTTCCCAAAGAGGGACAACCGATTATTTTATTTTGAGCGCTTTTTAGTCCAGTTGGCCATTTGGCGCTTTCAGGTCTCGTTTGGCCGGTCATTGTACATGTACATGTACATGTAGCTGTAAAAATGCACGCGTGCTTGCATGTGTCTGGACAGTTAAAAATGTGTTTTGGGGCCCCAACAGCAAGCCATCTTCCTAAAAAAATTCACCGGGGGACACCCCGAACCCCGTCAGATTATTCTCCCTGCAAAAGTGGCAGCCCTGCAGTTGGCTTTGAGCTGCACATCTGAAAACATTGAAAGCACATTGAAGAAAGGGGAACCTTTGTTGCAACTCAGAATTTCATGTTTTTTCACGAACATCGGGCAATCTGCCAAACGACCTGGAAGATGCGGGAATGCTCCACGTAGCATGATATAGCCCTGACGGCAGGTGCATTGTGGTCCATTCGAAGGATGTGTCCTAGCTTTTGCACTTTGCGGCGCTCTATGCTGTCTATTACTGCACGCCAAGAACGCCATACATTTTTTTAATTAACTTAATTCCAGTAACTCAGCAATCTTCTCGTGTTGTGTAATGTAAGTTTTAGATGTACAAGACAACACCAGTATAAATATATAACTGCAAGGTAAAGGCACTTACTTCACCACGAATTTAGCCGGACTATTCTGACTTGCTGCAGCATGGCGGCGAATGATGTTTTCGAACGCGTTAGTCATGGACCTGGTCAGAAGTCAGGGGAAGCAATGAAGGGACAGATTATATCCTTAGTCAATCAAACTTCAAATGAACTTCTTCCCAAGCAACTGTCTAAATCGATCTCTTTTTATCCTTGGTGTATTTATATATTCTTCTTTGCACTCTTCTATCAGCAGTTTAGTGTAGTGAATTATTTGAGAGAGGGAGAGACAGAGACAGAGAAAGAGAGAGAGAGAGAGAGAGAGAGAGAGAGAGAGACAGAGAGACAGAGATCTCTCTCTCTCTCTCTCTCTCTCTCTCTCCACATCTCCCCGGATGAGGGGACAGAGACACAAAAGAAAGAAAATAAATGACTTTAAAATTGTCTATTGAACCGCCCAGACAAGTTGCACACGCAGAGCCCGAATGGACAATCCAGCTCTCTCTCTCTCCCTCTCTCTCCCTCTCTATATCTACCTCTTTCTCTCTCTCCCTCTCTCTCTCTCCCTCTCTCTCTCTCTCTCTCTCTCTCTCTCTCTCTCCCCCTCTCTCGGTTCGTGCACTACGTCACCCTGATGAGGTCAGCAAAGCCGCGTACAGCTCAAATGTTTTGCTCGTTCCTTTGGTCTTGTCTGTGTTCCATAGGAAGAACATACTTGAAAGTATAAAGGGTTACGTGATCAAATCATCAGTTGAGATGTTTTGACAAAGTCGCGGCACGGCGATGCACTAGCGATTCATTAGTGACTCACGTGTACACATTGAGTCAAAAGTATTTAAGCTCCCAAGAGTGTTCAACTCCTGGTACCCTTTCTATGCGGTTTGCCGACGGTCAAAACTCAAAGCTCCCAAGAGTGTTCAACTCCTGGTACCCTTTCTATGCGGTTTGCCGACGGTCAAAACTCACATCACTTGGTGCACTGCTCCCGCTGTACGTTTCCAGCCCGTTGTTAAGAAGCAACGGAGTAATAAAAACAACATAGCACTACATGATAGAAACTCCCTTTGCTCATGTAATTTCCCAGCATTATCATGGCAGATGTTCGTATGGCACAGCCACAATCCTTCGTTGAACCTGGTACGAGAACGTACCTGAAACATGTGACGTGAGTTTCCTCCATCAGAGACCCCATGTGCAGAGTGGCGCCCTCCTGGGAGTTGATTTACCTTTGAAAGCGCCCATAAGCAGTTCTGCTCTATACCTAGCGCACGTAAGCGGTTCCGTAATTCCAGTGACTGATCGCCACGACTTCTTTCGCATAGAAAAAAGTGCGTACGTGAAAGCTCAGCAGACGAAGCGCAGACTATGTGCGAGAGGGTGTATACAACATTGTTTGTACGCCTTTGTGCAGACACAGCCAGATTAGCAGTTCAGCTGTGAGAGCGCCTTCACTAGCCATTTGTAGAAGATATTGATATCCGGATGATGCTCCAGAATCTCAATAGAAAAGGGATTCCTTTTCGAAAGTAACCCTAGTGTATAACCACACCAGTCTTTCAGAAACGAACGTTTCCAAAAATCCTACATCAACCGCTGAAGAGAAGGGAAGGAAGCCATTCAGTTAAGATGCTTTAGTTCCACAATACTGATGTAGAGTGCGTCGATGCATACACCGTAAAGTTCTCTGCAAACAACTACTTCGCAGCAAACGCCCACCCCAGCGGGTCCATACTATTTTCATCTTTTTCAGGTTGTATAGTTGTAGAAAGCTGGTATGAAGGACGAATGCGTACGAGAACGACTGTAATGCCTACACCGCCTATGTCATACCCGCAGGCTGTGCAAAAGCGATTGTCATTATCTTGCTGCAAAAGAAAACCTTCTTTTGAGATTTCCCTTTATTCGATAAACGAGTCGTCTTCATTATTATACTACTAGTTTGTTCTCCATGTGGTAATGCCGTACAATCCATCTGTTTGTTCTCCATGTGGTAATGCCGTACAATCCATCTGTTTGTTCTCCATGTGGTAATGCCGTACAATCCATCTGTTTGTTCTCCATGTGGTAATGCCGTACAATCCATCTGTTTGTTCTCCATGTGGTAATGCCGTACAATCCATCTGTTTGTTCTCCATGTGGTAATACCGTACAATCCATCTGTTTGTTCTCCATGTGGTAATGCCGTACAATCCATCTGTTTGTTCTCCATGTGGTAATGCCGTACAATCCATCTGTTTGTTCTCCATGTGGTAATGCCGTACAATCCATCTGTTTGTTCTCCATGTGGTAATGCCGTGCAGTCCATCTGGTTTTCAAACCATGAAATTATTCCTGCAGCGCCACGAATGTGACGATGTTGCGCTTTCAGAACGGAATGGTAATTGCTCTGACGAAGCGTCATTCGACGACCTGGCCGGTCGCAGTATTGCAGTTGCAAGGCGAACAGGGGGAATGCCACAGAAGCTACACCTACAAAGTCGCTGCTAACTTGTTGAAAATTCTGAAGTGGTCGAGAAAAACCATTGCCTTTACCACAAGCTTGCGCTTTGCATGATTCGGAAATAATGGCTTAAAACACCACCAGAAGTGTATTTGGCTCCTGCAATACTCTGTTCTTCGCTACCTTGTTATTCGGAAGAAACTCCCTTTTGGATTTGCGAAATAATCCACCAACATCATGAAACCACAACGAGCTAGCTCGCAGCTAGTGCCCAACGAGATTTTGAAACAAGGAAAATGGACATAGTTTACCGTAGCAAAGCGCTGTTCGCGATACAGTGTGCGAAGCACTTTCGTACAGTAGGGGTGGCAGTGCATGGGGTCAGTGCGTGCAGGCCAGCAGATCTTGCAAAAATAGGGTGGGTGTTTGCAGCGGACATTGCGGCACTACTTTTGAAATTGAATTCGCTTACACCTTTTTGTGGAATTACAAGTGCATGTCTTTTGCACAAGTTGACATTACTTTATCCCACTAACTACCTATACAGAAACTTACAGTGAGCCAATGAGGAATCGATTGTTCCCACGGTAGACGACAATTTGAGTGCCAGGCGCAATTCCATAGGTTTGCGACCCAATAATACCTGAAACAAGGAGAAGAGGTTTAAAGTCAAGAATGTGGTCACAGCAGTTCAACATCCTCGTGAAATGGGACCTGCAAAGTCAGCATTCTGACAGCGTAACTCGCAACGACTGTAGACTTTTTGCGCTTGGAGATTTTAACACTGATGTGCTTAACCCTTTCACTGCCACTGTTGACGAAAGTCGACAGCGCATTCATGCACTCTGAGTGCCACTGTCGACGAAAGTCGACAAGCAAACATGCAGTCCCCAGTGCCACCGTCGACTTTTGTCGACAGGCAGACTTCACCCAGTTTGGGCCACTATTTTTGACTATTGGAGATGTTTAGCCGTGGTAGAGGGCCACTAGGCCCTAGAAGAGGTCCATACCCATCGAAATACGCTGCCAGAAGCATGGGTTGCCATTTGAAAAAAATCGAACCAGCGTCGTTGAAAATGCGCATCTGATTTTTAGCCGAGCGGCGCGGAAGAAATCGGTTCTCACGCACTTCCACCTTGCTGAGTCGGTGCCAGTTTTTTTCTCTTTCCCGTCAACTTTCATTGCAAGGAGCATGACATTTGGTTCAGACTTGATGCCTAGCCATTGCCCAAGACTCCAGGCGGCTATCCATTGCGATAGGCGGTTGGAGTCACGGGTAGAGACAACCACACGACGGATTCCTCACGGACGCATTCACTGCAAACTTGGCGGAAACAGCGCTGGCGGCGCTCACCGAGTCCAGAACTAAACTTTTCCAAGAACTACCACGTTACAATGGCGACCAGCACAGTCAAGAGACACTACAGGTATGTCAGCTACAACATAATTATATTCTTTCTACAACGACACCTACCTCAAGCTCAATACCTGACGATCTACTGCAAGCTGATGCGAAAGTGCATTACACCCGCGAACGCCACGCTTGTCAACGGAACAGGGAAGCGCTTCACTCTCCGAAGTCGAAATGTATTCGGACTGCTGCTAGTCAGGAGAACAAACGACCACCATGGCGGCAGAACATTCCGCAGCTGTTCACCGACACGATCTGCTTCACCAAACGACTTACGATCGTTTCGTTCTCCGAGTTTTCTGGTGGCAGCAACTAGAATTTCGTCCGCAACAACAGGACGAAAGTCTCTCGCAACTGAAGTCCTGTTGCCACGAAGACCGAGAACATTCCGCACGCCATCTCTTCTGCTTCCAGTGTTGTAGCTCTCCGGTCCACTGGCAGATCTTTCAATCCCAGCTAACAAAAAAAGGATCTGCTTCTCTCTCCAAAACAACAACAACTAACTTTACTTCGCGAGTGTCCGGGCCGATCGTGTACATAGTGTATGTAGCGCATGCGGCGCACGGCGCACTTTCGCATGACATGACATGCATTTTTGCACAGCGGCTGGCGCTAGAGCGCCCAGCACGGTTGTACTTCGGATTTTGCGATTTTTTTCTACGGCAATGGCTTTCTTTATGAGTTGTCTACCTACGATGTATACTTTGGAAAGCGATATTCCGTACAGAAAGTACCAAAAAATCCATGAGAAGTTGGCCTTTCGATTTTTCGAGCTGGAGGCAAAAAGTGCCTGGCAGGGAGGGGGTGTACAGCTCAGCTGACAGCCTGGCAGGGAGCGCCTTGTCACCTTGAGTGGCCAGCTGGCAGTGAAAGGGTTAAATCCACTACAGTCCATTCAGAAAAAATGAACTTCTAGCTTTCGGCCATAAATGGGTCAAACGTTGAGTTTTTTTAGAATTTATTTCTGCAATCCTCTATGGAATCCTCTTCCAATTATGTTTCTGAAGTTTTTTTCTCCAAAAAGCAAGCCATAACAAGAATAGGATTTCGGCCAGGTTTTGCCTTCAAAGCATTGAATTGGGAAAAACTATGAAAATCCAGGCCGTTTGACCCAGTCTGCAACAGTGCATTGTGCGGTTCGAACCCCAGTTCAGGTACCCTTTTTGGACCCTTTTTCAAATTTCAAATTTCGCAGCACTGCACTGTGTACGATGAAATCACGAAAATCGCCAAATACGGGAGCTCGCCAGAGCCAGAGCCCATCTTTTTATGAATGGACTGTAGTAGCCATAATTATAAGCACCGGCTCAACCTGTGTACAGAGTTACACCCACACATTGTTGTGACCACGCAAACTCGACTGGCCAAGACTTGCCTTGACTTGGCATTAGCATAACGCCACTGCACCACATTGTGCCACAACTGTGGTATGGGTCGATGGAACCACACAAACACGCGCGCGCACGCACACACACACACACACAAACAACCACACAAACAAACACACAAACATGCGCACACACACACACACACACACACACACACACGCGCGCGCGCGCACGTACGCATGCACACATATGCACTCATGCACACACGCAAGCACACACACAGATCACAACAACCACCACCACACCGCACTACTCCACACTTAAAGAGCTGTTATGCAAAACCCGCGAAATCCATTTATTACTTTTCGGATAATGGCTAAAAAGGAAATATTTTATTTGCGGTTTGTATCTAAATCCATACTTGGATTCCAGTTTTGAAATGGTTCTGGTCAGATTTTAGATTAGAAATTTTGCCTGCTGGTGCCCCTAGACCTTTGCAGAATACTCTGAGTTGAAAATCTGCTTTCTCAAATTTGACGTTTATCAAGTTTGGGCATCTCAGCTCTTCACTTGTATGCGCACAAAATCTGTTTGGACGAATCCAGCATCTTAATAATCATAACTTGATGTGATTTGGGCAGACAGGCACAAATCAAATTCTAGATGACGGTCTATATACAGTGGCAGGTCTACTTCTAAGTCTGACTACTTTGGTTGATAGATGATACGGGTATCCTATGCCAACTCAGTCAAATAAGGAAGGGAATTGCTGAACGAACAATTTATTTCTCACAGCTCAATTTGTAGGCTCATGGAAGTCAGGAAGATTTTTCCAGAAGAAGTATTTTAGTAGTGATGTGGCTTGTATATACATGTACCTGAAACGTGTGTTCCGTGACTGCTTCCGGGCTGGTCCTCCAATGGCGTGTTTGCTCTCTCTGCAGGCTGCGATATTTACAGTCAAAGTAAAACACACACACACACACAAACACACACACAAAGACACACACAAAGACACACACAAAGACACACACAAAGACACACACAAAGACACACACACACACACAAAGACACACACACACACACAAAGACACACACAAACACACACACAAAGACACACACAAACACACACACAAACACACACACAAAGACACACACAAAGACACACACACACACACACACACAAAGACACACACACACACACAAAGACACACACAAAGACACACACAAAGACACACACAAAGACACACACAAAGACACACAATAAAACACATACATGTTCAGGTACACATACACATGTACACACACAAGCATGCACGAGCGTACTCACCCCTCCCCAGACACACACATACACATAAGCATGCACACATACACAAACACAGACACACACACACACACACACACACACACACACACACACACACACACCTACCCCCCCCCCCCCCCCCCCACACACACACACACAAACACACAAACAAACACACACATACAGACAGAGACAGACACACAGACACACAGACACACACACACACACACACACACACACACACACACACACACACACACACACACGCAAAATGAGACAATACTTCACACGTAAAAATCATACATTCATTCTAGATGCATAAACACACCCAGGATACCGTTCCTTGTCCAGCAATTACGCATTTGGATCATTGCAAATATGTAGTGAGGATAGCTCCAAAAACCACTGGAGGAGAAAAGCCGTCAAAAAAGTTTTTGTTTGGTCAACTATGCCTCTCAAATAATAAATACGGTTCCTGTCTGCAATGGCAACGTAGCCAGTTTTAGGAAAACAAATGGCCCAAACCATTGCTCCAAAGATAAGCGTACGCACGTGGCGGTAGTGCGGAGGAAGTATACATTCTGCATTGTGCGATCCATGCAATTATTCCTGCGACATATATGTATGAGGCCGGGCAAGGAATTAGAAATTCAGCCAGGTCTTACAAAATTCAGACATGTACACCGTGACAAAGTGTAACGAGGAGCAGGTCCAAAACTCGGATTTAGACCCTGAATCTGGGCAAAATAAGATCTTCAAATGCAAGTGGGACTGTTCTAGACGAATGGACTACTGTAAAAGCCATATATAGAACGAAGTGCTAACTCTAAGGAATTAACGAGGAGAAATCTGTCGTTAAAATAGAAATCGTTATACAGAAATCGATACATATACTGTCCTATTGAGCGTTGAGAATGAGTGAGAATCGTTACCTTTGGCACACGTAAACCAGTCAATTTTGGGAAATCGTTATATATGCGCCTCGTTAGAATAACGGCTTTTACAGTATAGTTGAAGTGCGGTCTGGTCCACTTACCCGATGTAAAGTGCCAGCGGGGAAGTCAGGATTGTTAAGATATATTCCGCTGAACAGCCATCAGAACAGTTAGACACACTCACAACAACGAAGATTTGCCGGCAAACCGTAAACTAGACAGAAATGCCAGTAAACATCAGTTTAACATACATTCGATACATACGCAGTAAACACTTTTCAAGGTGACCATTATTATAAGGCGACCACCTATCCCAGAGGACCACTTCACCCAAGACCAGGGGTTGTTATTTCAAACGACCCGGATAAGAAGACCACCTGTGCACGGGAGCGACTTTTGTAAGGTCCCTTGAGCAAGAATCGTTGAGAGATTTCGTAGTACAAAGAGATCTGCGCTTGAATGCCCAGGCACTCTGTACTCGTCAACTAACTTGCAAAACAGGCTGGGTTCCTGAAAGAGCAGCCAATCGCAAGGCGACACGAAAAACTTAAGTCTAGTATTAGCATAAGGAGCTCAAAGCAGGATGTAAAAAACTTGACTTTTACATGGATCGCTTTAGCCACTGGTTATCTGATAATGCCTTAAACTGTGTGTGCCACGCAGAATTGGCTTCGGCGCTTAGTTTGAAAACCTCCAAGTATGCGATAGTGAATCCAGCAAAGAGGGATCTAAAGGAGAGAGAGACTACATTATTCACTCCAGTGTCTGGAGATATGTAGATTTTGTAGAGAAAAAAAAAGAAGACGTTTATAAGAATAATGCTTGCTTGACAGAATGATACCCTGCACATTCTATTGATGGGCACACTGGTCCGCCGTCTCATGAAAACTTTCACAGCAATAACTTACTCGTCAATCACAAACGCTCGCACGTCCTTGCCAGCAATGTCTGGGTCTGAGGGTGGAAATACAACGGGACAAAAGTGAGAAATAATGTTGGCCGGCTTCTGGACAGCTTCACCATGGCCATACGGTGCAAGTGAAGCACTTTTTTTTTACGATAATGCACCCTCTGCAGATTCGGTGCCGAGTGAAACCAAGAGTGCATGAAAACTAGAGTGTGCAGCTCGGATGGGTTGCTGTCACGGCGAAATTCCGTGATTACATCATTTTAGTGATGAAGTGCGTACAAGCAGGATTCAAGCAGGTCTCTTTCTGCACAACTGCAGCTCAGTTGTACGCACTACGCCATTTCCCGCCTCTGATCTGCGCCAAATATGATGTAATCACGGAATTTCGCCGTGACAGACACCCATAGCAGAAAAGGCCCCAAGCTGCACACTCTGGTATAATGTACTCTTTCTTGGTGAAATACATGTCTGATAGATTACTCTTAGTATACAAGGAAAGCCGTGTCTATTTTTCCAGTAAGTTTAATCATCCACTTCGATCTTTATCTAGATGAGTATGGTGTGGCGTGAATCACAGACACCTGAAAGATGAGCACTTCCTTCCCCATCACCAATCCTATTATCATAGTTCCTTCAGTGTATTCGGCATCGTCTTCCGTATGATTTTTTGGAGGAAGGGAGAGAGAGAGAGAGAGAGAGAGAGAGAGAGAGAGAGAGAGAGAGAGAGAGAGAGAGAGAGAGAGAGAGAGAGAGAGAGAGAGAGAGAGAGAGAGAGAGAGAGAGAGAGAGAGAAGAGAGAGAGAGAGAGAGAGAGAGAGAGAGAGAGAGAGAGAGAGAGAGAGAGAGAGAGAGAGAGAGAGAGAGAGAGAGAGAGAGAGAGAGAGAGAGAGAGAGAGAGAGAGAGAGAGAGAGAAGAGAGAGAGAGAGAGAGAGAGAGAGAGAGAGAGAGAGAGAGAGAGAGAGAGAGAGAGAGAGAGAGAGAGAGAGAGAGAGAGAGAGAGAGAGAGAAGAGAGAGAGAGAGAAAGATACAGAGGGATAGATAGATATATAGAGAGAGACAGACAGACAGACAGAACAGACAGACAGACAGACAGACAGACAGACAGACAGACAGACAGACAGACAACAGACAGACAGACAGACAGACAGACAGACAGACAGACAGACAGACAGACAGACAGACAGACAGACAGGCAGGCAGGCAGGCAGGCAGGCAGCAGGCAGACAGACAGACAGAGAGGGAGAAAGAGAAACAGACAGAGATACAGACACACACAGTTAGAGAGATTACGAAGACAATCATGGTGGTGGTGACCCCGACTCCGACGTCAACCCACTTCTACAACAACAACCCCACAATGCAGTATATTTTTAACACGAATTGACAAAGAACGCGTATTTAGCTGAGGTGGCATCCTCACAGGTGAACGGCAATATTAAGAAAGGTATTAACTTACAGTCCACATCGTAATCCAAATTGGTACAGACTGGAACTGCAGCAGGCCAGTTACCAAGAGAGTTCGGGTCTACGGGCTCTGCCGCGACCTGCAA